CCACCAACTTTCAATGTTTTTGTCATGCGCATGACCATATGCATAGTGTTTATTTTGAACAGGGACACTGAATACGAGATAATAATTAAAAATTCATCGGTAATCTTCCAGTGCCTGCACTTGCGAACAATTGAAATTTCAGGTAGCACGAGGAGGTAGCGATATCTCTTTGACTGTCCGCGATCCAAGAAATGTTGAAATCGTCACAGATGAAAGGCAAAAGTACCATTTTCACCGGTGATTATCTTAAACCCTAATCATTGATAACGCAGATACTCATGCTCAATGCAGATAAGAGGACATCAAGCTGAAAGTGATGGCATTTCATAATAAATGGTTCCAAAGTACTACTATTTCAGCATTGTGATAGGCGATTCAGAAAGCTCTCTAGGCGACTACTCTATTTGCATGGACAACTCGTATAGCTATGAAAATAAGGCGGTAATTTTGTTCGTTAAAAAACTTGAGATAGAACGATAACATAGTACTGCGTCTCATCTTCAGGTGAGCATATCTTTGCACTTGCTAGACGCCAAGGGAGATTACGTGAGAAACCCGTCAGAACTTAAGAGTAGCGAACAAGTGAAAGTAGCCGTTGATGTGTTCGAAGTAAGCTTCAGAAATTACAGGTGGTGTCTTTCGGTCATGGTAACTTCATATTTAGGCCTCTACAAGTCGTTTGATGAATCACATCGATGCAGCGGACAGGCTACTTGTTCAAATACGAGTCATTAGCAATATTGTAAGTCTTGGGTTACCTTGTATATCTTCAAATTATAATATGCCTCTACGGTACGAATTTCGCAAGATTATGAAAAATTTACAAATGGTAGCGTAGAAAGTAAAAAATTCTTAAGGATCGCTCAATTGCCGAGCAGAACTTTGAGAGAGTGAATTGGTATGGAACTGTAAACACCCTAGTCATTCTTATCGCAGCGATGGCGCAGGTATATAATCCGAAATCTTTCATTTTTTTCATTCTCAAGATTGTTGCTCATGACAGAGCTTCTATAACGCCGACTTTTACGAAGTCGTTTTATACTCGTTCTTAAAGGAATCCTTCACGGAAAAATCATGATTCAATTTCGGCCATATTCACTGGCTTGAGACCCATCATCCACGATAGGAACGAAAAGAAGAATTGCATTGTTTTGGCAAAATTTCGAAAATGAAAGGGCTACCGCCGCACATCTATCTGATTCATCAAAAATGGCTGTGTACTGGGATGCTGTTCACTTGGTTCTTACGATTATAGCTAGATGCCGCACGAAAAGAACTCATTTATTGGTCTTCTTTAGACGTTAGTATGCAATATCACAATCAATCACAACTTCTAAATCCATCCCGTATCAAAATATCGATTTGTACAAACACAATCCAAACTCCACATCGCAGCATATTAACCACGATTCTCCATACTTGCGTCGCCTAGTACAGAAGGGCAGCCTACCGAGTGCGAGTATATACCCATGCCCGGCCCCCCTGAGCATCACGCAAAAACCCAAATTACCTTTCGATTCGTCCACGGAATGGATTTTCGTGAGAATTGGTCTCTTCTGCCGTAAATACTTTGTGTTTTGCATCTAGTGATCTTGATCACAACTGATCCATCCATTTAAAAAAGAATGCAAGAATTTTCTGCGAAGGATTCCTTTGAATTCTCATTATATAAACCATTTTTGCCACGTTGATGAAATTTCTTGTTTCTTATGGTTCGAGCTTTAGCATACATTTCAGCCTTTTGTGGAGTACTTATATGTACTTGGAAACAGTCTTTATTCAACATCTTCGTATTTATTTCGTGACCACAACCGCACTCTAGCCGTATTCTGTACCAATACGGCTAGAGTGCGTATTGGTACAGAATACGGCTAGAGTTTCCATATAGTTTCCATAGCATTGGAGGAAATAATACATTTAGGTTTTGCTCGTTCGAAGTTTACTCACCGAAGACTCTAAAGTTGGCAAATTACTACGCCGTGGAAAAACGTGAATCGAGGGACTTTTACGAATAGAAGCATAATTTGTAATGATCGTAGGTTTCATTTCTTAGTATTGCAAGTGCTAGTTATCTTTTTCTTATCATTTTCACTCTATTCCTTTCTTTCAAGCTGCCTACTTATTGATAGCTGAGTGGTTTTCTCAAATCGAATTGCCTACTGTTGTCAGTTAGTGCCTTTCATTTGCTGCCTTACTATTGATAGCAGTTTCAGTTCCTATAGATTCATAGTTTATCCTGTCAATCATGCCCAGACTAATGGATTCGTTCATGGACCCTTGTTTTTCCTTTCTTAAGTCATATAACAGAGGTGAAAAAGAGCCCTCCAATTACTGCCTGCCAATGACAATTTTATCTCTTTTTTCCTTCCAAGGTGCCTACTAACGTCAACCTCAATTGACCCCTTTTGCAGACAGATTTTTTAACGGATATACCAGTGTCTTGATACGGTTACACATTGTTCACTTATTCAAAATTTCCACTAAAAGTGATCTTGCCTATGTATTGCGTACAATGGTGCTACAGAGTGAATAGTTTTTATACAAACTCGTTTTCAACACTTAGAACAACCTACTTTTGTAGATATAGCTTTGAAATTGAAGTTCTCAACAACTTGATAACAATAACAACAATAGCTTTCAACTTTCCAAAATAACTTTAGTATAGTATTTTTAGAAAAAAGTAGGAAAGACGGCTTGACATGTGATTGATCGTTTCGATATATCTTGCACAAAAACCTATAAAACAAATTTCACATGAATGAAATGAACGGATCTCTGCTAATCACCGACCACCTCCCTGTATTCCCCTGATAACTCAATAGCTCAAATTCTAATACTTACGCAGTGAGCTGAGATTACAGTCCAGTCATGAGCTGCCGCTATTCTCAAGTCTGCAAGCAGTATTGGAAAATCATTGCAAGGTTAATGTACATGATTGTTTCTGAGGAGTCAGGTGTTCTTTAGATTAGCACTAATGTATAGTGCAAAGCGGAAGGTGAAGAACATTAATTCCCACTGAGATGCGCCCGCATGCGGACGAAGTTGTTGAAATCGAAATAGCGGGGCAATCGTGCAAGCAGAGTTGCCGTTTGTAATATTTTATGGAAACTCGTTAGCGAGTGCTGGTAAATCAACGCAGCGTAACTAAGGAAGCGATAAATGTCTTTGCTGCTTGGATCGGGAAACCCACCCTCCCCCCTCCTGTCTGCACAGTATTGTGCGCCGAAATTCAATTCAAGAAAAAAAAAGACGGAAAATTTTGAGCCAGGGGAACAGGTACTTTTAGCCTTTCAAGCAAAATGGATTGTTGGAGAACAGTTTCACTGCTTTCTATATGGAAAAATCACGAAGTTTCACCACCCGAGCAACACAACAACCTGTCTCGTGTGTATATTAGATCCGCCAACACCTCGATCCTGCTCGCTGCGTTTGATTTGGTTTCCCGTATTGGACGACTGACGTAAAACTTACCATTGTAATTCTCTTCATATCGAGGGTAATCGCCAGCAATCGGCACGCTGTCTCACTTCAATTCTCTCTTCCCTCGCTCTTAGCAGTTCATCACACCACTGATAACACGTCCCGCGGGCTCTTCCCTCGGCGGCCTCCTCACGCTAACAATTCATAAGCTGTATGGCAGCTCCAGCTCCCCAGTGCACGAATTTTGCTACGAAAATCCTACAGACTATAAACAAACTAACATAACCTTTTAGCGGAGCATTGAGTGAGGAAAGACCTTGTTTGACCTCTCTTCACTTCAGGGTCAGCACAGAAATCGGCCTAACTAGATTGCAACCAACTGCAAACCTTCGAGACTTTCCCGATAAAGCGCCAGTTTTGTCGCATACGCTGGAGATAACTGCATTCAACTTACGACTGATCGTAACTTTCCGACAGCAGAATCTCCTTCGTTATAAGTTCAAATTTTACTTCTTCTACACGAGCTTCAACAGCGCTTCCCCAGTCAGTGAGAGGTTCATGGGTTTTTGCATGTCTAGAAATAAGCGTGTTCATAGTGTTGGCAAGACCATAAAATTTATCCACCACAAAAAATCATAGCTCCTACTTTCTCTCGTAGAGAAATCATAGTGTACGGTGATTCGTTCGGGAAAGCTAAAAATCCCAAGTACTGAGCTTTGCAGCATCCACGCCTGTAAGTAAAGAGTGAAAAAAAAATAGAAAAGGAAGAAAGGACTAGAAAGTAATCAACTGGACGCTCACTTCTCTTTTGTATGACTAAGACTGGTAGGTACGCCCAGTGTCATAGATGCAAAAATAAATCGGCACCTTTGACAAAGCAAAGCGGGCCTGCTGCAAATCCGCGCAGGCGGCGAGTATCAGCGCTATACCCAACGGAAGGCTGGTTCTAATCACAAGATAATAAACGATTCATAAATCAACCGTATCACCCGTTCACTTTCAAACGTCCTCTGAATGTAGCTTTTGTACTGCAATTCGCGTATTACAGTAATCAGCATGCCTGAACAGTTGTGATTTTAACATTGAGGAAGACGATTAAGATAAATGTCGATTAGAAGTAGGATTTTCAATTGCGATGTATAATAATTATTACGTAAGACAAGATGCTTAAGCGCGCGCCAAGGACTCACCCACCATCTTCCTGATTTGATGCAAAATGAAACTCTGCCCTTTCACTGTGAGTTGAATAAATTCAACATCCTCATTTCGAATATCATCGTGAAATAAGAAAGGTTCCCCACATTCGAAAGACAATATATAACGATGGCAACTGCGATCATCAAATTCCCTGAACGTCAATACACATCATGACTTGGATTCTCACTAAACAACCGAATCCTGCACTCGACTACATCAAGAGGTCCACGTACCGTTTTGAGGTATAGTTGAAAAAGTTATGCGTGCCTTTATAAATACTGAGAACAGAATTGATTTCGTCGATAGTTTCCTTGCTGATGCGAAAAGCAGCATTCGTCAACTGAAGCAGAAACATCAGACACCATTTCAAATACTCAATAAGTGTGCGGAGATATCAACTATTTTCCTATCAAGAAGTTCACAAAAGCTGAGCGGAGCCTGAAAACTACCTCCGTAGGTTTTGCAAACGCGAAAGTAGGCAGAGTGTAGCTATACGTTCTTGCGCAGCACATTTTCTGTGGATGAAATGCGTTTGTTCGCTCGACGCATCGCTGAAAGTACAAAACAACAGAAGTTTGTGACCAGCCACTTTGAATCCCTGGAGGAAGCAGATGGATGAATATACCTATGACACGAATATCCTGTGGTAGCAGAGCGTTCAGTTCATTAGGTCCTGTCACTGGATAGTCGTCGTTCTTTGGAAGCTCCATACCACAGATCTTAAAAATTATGCGTGTCATAAAAGAACCGATTACGACGATTAACAGAACCCATCCCCCAGTGATCACTTCCAGAGCATTCAAACAGTATGAAAATCACAAAATGGTGAAGGAGCAAATCATCATTTAATAGGCCAGATATGATAACTAGGAACCTGACGTTAAACAAACGCTCCACCGTCAAACTGCCGAAGACAGTAAAACCTCACCTGCCTTACAGCAGAAACCGCTCTATCGGTACGAGCTGCTCTTTGGAAGTGAAAAAGACCAGGCTGCTCTTTCATCTCATCGGTGATCCATCCTAATTTATTCATAGCATTGATCAACTGCCCTTCGATCGTCGGGTGCTCTTTTTGTATCTGTAAAGCCACAGCGTAATACTTACGTATAAACTGGACGTAAATAATTGGAAGAGAGCAAAATATGCTCATTCGCAAGCTAAGCAGAAGTAGTAAGTTTCTACTCGGTGAAAAGCAAAATCATTGAGCGAAAAGCGCAGACGGAGGTGGGCGCGCGAAATCCTCGCTGGTATGGAAACATTGAAGAGAACTGTGCGTCTTTCATCTGCCCTCTTTTCGATCTTGTCGGAGGTTATGGGAATCACTACTTACCTCTAAGGGCGCAGAAGTCATGGCCTCTACTCCTCTAAAACTGCCCCAAAAAGGAATTCATTGAAACTTTCTCTCAGAGGATTTTCCGAAATTGGTTCCAGTATGAGCGAGCCTTAAATAAGATCGGCTGATGAAGGCTTCATTCACAAAACTCAAAAAGTTCACAATCAAAAGTCGCATTCCTGACCATGATTTCCTGATGCCATAATGACAATTCGTCACATTGGGATGACAAATAATGCCCGTTGACAAAGTTTCAACGAATCTTTTTTTTTGATTTTGGGCGGTAGTAGTGGTGGAATAGTAGTTAATAATAATTCGTTAATAGTAATAGTAGTAGTAAGTTAATAATAAAAATTCAATAATAACGGAAATCCAGAAAGAATGCAGCAGACCCACCTGCATCCCAAAATATTCCTTTCCTTGATAAGCGAGGAGCATTGCATACTTTGCCCTTTTGATTCGAGCTTTTGCTGCTTCCCCAGAATGATGCTTTTCGATCCTGCCAGACTGCACATCGTGAAGAACGGCTTCCTGACTTACTTTCAGCCACGTCTGCAACTTTTGTCATCGTTGCTACGACCCTCTGAAGAAACCGTTTCAACATGCGCTCTGAATGAGCCTGAACGGAAATAAATTGATAACTTATGGGATTAAAACAGGAAAATCGTCAACAAGGAGACAACCCAACGCGAGAGCCAATTTTGAAGTGAGAAAAAGCTCCTTCAACTTTTCAAATGGAGAAGAACAAACTTTGACTTTCATATTTTATTGAGAAGACGACCTAATGTTTTGTGGATAGTCTTTTATCCTCGAATATTACTCCACTTTTTGTTTGGCACATGACATTTTCCACTCGATCTCTGATGCTCAAA